TATATATATATATATATATATAAAAAAAAAAAATATAAATATATATATATATATATATATATATATATATATATATATATATATATATATATATATATATATATATATATATATATATATATATATATATATATATATAGTATTATTTTTATAATATTATAATAATATTAATATTTATAATATTATAGTATTATTTTTTTCATATATATTTATATTCACCGGCCACTTTATTAGGTATACTAGTACTGTGTTGGACCCCTTTTGCCTTCAGAACTGCCTTAATTCTTCATGTCATAAGATTCAACAAGCTACTGGAAATATTCCTCAGAGATTTTGCTCCATATTGTCATGATAACATCACACAGTTGCTGCAGATTTGTCGGCTGCACATCCATGATGCCAATCTCCCGTTCCACCACATCCCAAAGCTGCTCTATTGGATTGAGCTCTGGTGACTGTGGAGGCCATTTGAGTACAGTGAACTCATCGTCATGTTCAAGACACCAGTCTGAGATGATTGAGCTTTATGACATGCTGCGTTATCCTGCTGGAAGTAGCCATCAGAAGATGGAGACACTGTGCTCATAAAGGGATGGACATGGTCAGCAGCAATACTCAGGTAGGCTGTGGCGTTGATGCTCAATTGGTACTAATGGACCCAAAGAAAATCTCCCCCACACCATTACACCACCACCACCAGCCTGAACCGCTGATACAAGGCAGGATGATCCATGCTTTCATGTTGTTGAGGCCAAATTGTGAGCCGAGCATCCGAATGTGTCAGCAGAAATGGAGACTCATCAGAGCAGCAACGTTTCTCCAATCTTCTATTGTCCAGTTTTGGTGAGTCTGTGTGAATTGTAGCCTCAGTTTCCTGTTCTTAGCTGACAGGAGCGGCACCCGGTGTGCTCTTCTGCTGCTGTAGCCCATCCGCCTCAAGGTTGGACGTGTTGTGTGTTCAGAGATGCTCTTCTGCAGAGCTCGGTTGTAACGAGTGCTTATTTGAGTTACTGTTGCCTTTCTATCAGCTGGAACCAGTCTGGCCATTCTCCTCTGGCCTCATCAACAAGGCATTTGCGCCCACAGAACTGCCGCTCACTGGATATTTCCTCTTTATTCTCTGTAAACCCTAGAGATGGTTGTGCGTGAAAATCCCAGTAGATCAGCAGTTTCTGAAATACTCAGAGCAGCTCATCTGGCAGCAACAACCATGCCACGATCAAAGTCACTTAAATCCCCTTTTCCCCTATGCTGATGCTTGCTTTGAACTGCAGAAGATCGTCTTGGCCATGTCTACATGCCTAAATGCATTGAGCTGCTGCCATGTGATTGGCTGATTAGAAATTTGCAGAAATTGAATAACCAAAAGTAAAGGAACTCTGTTTTCATTGTAAATTTTCAATATTAAAAATTCCTTTTTAAATCTCCTCTGACCTCCCTGGACACACCCCTCCACACTGATTTCTGCAAGTGTTTTGTAAGTCAGCCTGTCGCTGTTGTTAAAGCAATAATTGAAAACACTTCAAATCGTCGTTCCCACTGGTATGCTGAGTTGTGCATTTGTTGAGTGTTCTCTTTGTTTCTGATACAGGTAAATCTCACCTGGCCATCGTGCAGAAGGTGAATAATGAGGGTGAAGGAGATCCGTTCTATGAGGTTCTGGGTTTGGTGACGCTGGAGGACGTGATCGAGGAGATCATCAAGTCGGAGATCCTGGACGAGTCTGACCTCTACAGTACGCTCACTATCAGCTTTCATTATCATTCATTATTCCACATGTGTGTGTGTTCCTCAGCAGCAGAAGTGCTCATAGCGTACAAACTCAGAGCGCAGTGAATGTGAGAGTACAACACATCATTATTCTACAGTCATAATAGCTGAAATAATGACTGATCAAGTTCACTGCACTCTGATAACAGGTGTTATCAAGACTTTCAGAAGAGGAAAACAATAGTGTGAGACTGATAACAGCAGCCAGAGGAGAGAATAATGTCAGATTCACTGTCCTGCCCCCATACACACTGCATTACACACAGTTGCGCCTGCAGCCATACGGCTGTACGCACTGTGCGTACCTACCATGAGAGGGCGTGAATTAATGCTGCTTTTAATTTAATTATTTATTACATCATTTAAATTGATTTATTAAACAGTATACACTAGGATATATTGACAAAACAAGAAAGAGTGACAACACATTAAGGTGTGCGTTTGTGTGTTTTAAAGTAGAGATCTGCGCGGGACTACATTTTTAATCCCGCTCCCGCCCGCACCCGCCAGGTTTTAGCCCGAACCCGACCGCTCCCGCTTATATTAAGCATTTGTTGTCCCACTGCCCGACCCGCCCCGTTTTCTACCCACCGCGCGCACTAACACACACACACACACATGCACATAAGCACCAAGCAAACACACAGGCAAAGCTCTCTCTCTCTCTCTCTCTCTCTCTCTCTCTCTCTCTCTCAATCTGCGGTCTGTGTGGGTCCTAATGCCCCAGTATAGTGACGGGGACTCTATACTGCTCAGTGAGCGCCGTCTTTCGGATGAGACGTTAAACCGAGGTCCTGACTCTCCGTGGTCGATAAAAATCCCAGGATGTCCTTGGAAAAAAAGAGTAGGGGTTTAACCCCGGCATCCTGACCAAATCTGCCCACTGGCCTCTGTCCATCATGATCATGATTGGCTTCATCACTCTGTCTCCTCTCCACCAATCAGCTGGTGTGTGGTGTGCGGTCTGATGCAATATGGCTGCTGTCGCGTCATCCAGGTAGATGCTGCACACAAGTGGTGGATGAGGAGACCCCCCCTATTGTGTAAAGCTGTTTGAGTGCCCAGAAAAGTGCTATATAAATGTAAGGAATTATTATTATTATTAGTATTGTTATTATCTTTATTTATTTATTTTTTTAAATGAATTGTTAACAAAACATACAGGCTGAAAAACCGATATAATGAAACATATCAATTCAAAAAACCCACCCCCCTCCCCTGCAGTCTCTTGAAACTGGGCTTTACAATGAATAGAAGTTAACATAAAAACAAAAACAGAGTACAGGATCAAATATCAATTATACAAAGCAAGGCAATGATTCTGGATCCTGATCATTTCTTTGTGCAAATTCCAAAGAAAATAAAGTCCAGAAAATAAAGTCCAGGGGCCTCATGTATCAACGCTGCGTACTCACAAAAACTTTGCGTACGCCAGGTTTCACGCTCAGAATCGCTCACGTTTGGATTTACTAACGATGAAGTTGACGTGGGAATGTGCGCAGCTTCACGGCAGCTTTCTGGCTGGCGTACGCACATTTTTTGTGCGTGTCTGTTTTATTTCCATTGGCGACTCCTAGAGGCAGTTGTGTTAAATTCCTCTCTACAAAGTGTCTGAGCCTTGCAATGGCAGCTGTATGAGACGGGTTCATCTAGCAGGTATATAAGGTTTCCATACCATACAGTTGACCAGCTAAACATTAAAGCACAATTTGCAGCGGTCGCCTGTTTTCCCAATGTAATCTGAGCGATCTACTGCACGCACATTGCTATAAAGACACTATCTGAAGATGAATTTGCATGCGTGAATCAGAAACATTTCCATTTAATAAATGTGCAAATAAAATATGATGCTTATTGATATGAACTTATTGATGATTCCTACTCTTTCTCGTGATAAATAGTAGGCAAAATCTGATATGTAGCGGGGGAAAAAACAAGAAAGAGTTCATCAGACACTGGATTCGAGCCGAGTTCATGCTCAAACGTATAGATTCATGATCACATGTGTCTTACGAGTAACGCCACTGAGACCGTTAAGCGTCCTGCAACATTTTACAGATATACACCACACTATTTCTTTTTTTAATGCACTCAGTGCGATGTTCAGACCCAACTGTGTTAACCGCATCAGCTAAACTCTCCCACTCTATTTTTTTCTTTTGTTGTTAATTCCGGAGAACAAACTCGCAAATAACACCGCTTTTCTCCGGTCTGCCTCCGAAAGCAGCACCTCCAATTCACATTCTGTTCAGAGTTTCTCTTCTTGCTTGCTTTTGCCGTTGCTTTTTCGTTGGGTTTTTCCATTAGCATAGTCATTAGCATATTCATACGGGGGAGGAGGCAGGGAGGGGTTTTGCGCTCGTGCATGTTGCGCTCAGTTTCACGTTCATTCAGATGTACAAAAGAATATGCGTGAGATTCGGCGTACGCAGTGTTTCATACATCTAAAAATTTTTCTGCGTACGCACATTTACAGCTTTGTGCGTACGCAATGTTTTAGTAAGATTTCCACGCAAGTCTTCGTACATGAGGCCCCAGATCAGTAATGTACCCATTTGTACCAAGTTCCCTCGCGCCGTGGATAACTCCAACATTATAAGTAAGGAATTATTATTATTATCATCCAGCTCTTGGCCAGCCTCCTCGCATGGAACCGCTATACCATTCAATTTGTTTTTAACAATTTTATCTCACAGACTGGCAAAAATAAGCAGACATCTCCATCCTCACAACGAGTTTCTGAGATTTCTTACCTTTCAACCGAGTGTGTTGCACCGAGGTAATGTGGGAACGTGTTTAGTGCTGTTTTGAATATATGTGAATTTGTAAACGCCTGTCCTGCTCATTCAAATGATTTGATTAAATGATTAGATGATTGATTAAAATTAGATCATTAAGCTGAATATTTCAGTCTCATTTTATTTAGGCTGGATTATTATTTTATTTGACAATCCAGTTCTTGATTCGGCATTGTTAAAGCATAGCGGATTTGAAGCATATCTAATGTTATTCATTTTTCTATTTTATCTAGAAGATAACCGACCTAGAAAAATATTGAAACAAGGAGACAAACAATATACGAAATTAGTTTAAAAAATATATTTTTTCCAAGAAAAATAAATATTATTGAGCCCGTCCACTACTCAGCTGTGCGAGTGGAGGATTATCAGTCAGTGGAAAGTAAGGATTTAATTAATGCCTCACTAATTGTACTGTTTCTTCATATACTGTTGAAGTCAGAATTATTAGCCCCCCTGAATTATTCACCCCCTTGTTTATTTTTTCCCCCATTTTCTGTTTAATGGAGCAAATCTTTTTTAACACATTTCTTATCATAATAGTGTTAATAACTCATCTCTAATAACTGATTTATTTTATCTTTGTCATGATGACAGCACATAATATTAGACTAGATATTCTTCAAGACACTTCTATACAGCTTAAAGTGACATTTAAAGGCTTCACTAGGGTAATTAGGGTAACTAGGCAGGTTAAGGTAATTAGGCAAGTTATTGCATAACAATGGTTTGTTCTGTAGACTATCTATTAAAAAATAAAGCTTAAAGGGGCTAATCATTTTAACCGTAAAATGGTGTTTAAAAAATTTAAAACTGTTTTTATTCTAGCTAAAATAAAACAAATAAGACTTTCTCCAGAAGAAAAAATATTATCAGACATACTGTGAACATTTCTTTGCTCTGTTAAACATCATTTGGGAAATATTTAACAAAGAAAAAAAATCAAAGGGGGGCGAATAAATCTGACTTCAACTGTATTTGCAATTTTTTAAATATGTCATCATTTTAACGATTAGTCCTACATCTTGAGCATCTCATTTAGATTTCAACAAAATATTACAATTAAAAAGGAAACAATTAATGTCATAACGAATGCCCTTAAATAATGTCTTTTCCCACTAAGCATCAGTGTTTCTTGACATGATTGGGGAAAGGGGTGGGCGGTGCTGGATTTGTGCGTACCATGGAATAAAATCCTGCAGGCGCTCCTGATGACACACACCTCACACAACGGGAACTCACTTTTTGTAATTGTAATGATGCAAAGCGATATGATACATACAGAAATACATACAGTCGAAAACAAAGGTTTACATACACTCTACTAACAGGAATATAACCATTTTTAAAAAAATGTCTGATGGTAAATCACACTAAACGTTTACTATTGTAGGTCCGTTAGGATTACCTAAATCATTTACATTTGCTAAATGCCAGAATAATGAGAGAGTTATTTAATAATTTTTTAGACAGTCAGAAGTGTACACACATTTCCTTGGTATTCTTTAGCTTTGCTTTTAAACTGTATAACTTTGGTCAAGTGTTTTGGGTCTCCTTCCACAAGCTTCTCACAATAGTTTGCAGGAGTTTTGGCCAATTCTTCCTGACAGAATTGCTGTAACTGAGTCAGATTTGTTGGCTGTCTTGCTCACACAAGCTTTTCCAACTCTGCACACACATTCTCTATAGGGTTGAAATCAGGGCTTTGTGATGGCCACTCCAAAACATTCACTCTGTTGTCCTTAAAGCACATTTGAACTAGTTTGGCAGTGTGCTTAGGGTCATGGTCTGTTTGGAAGAGCCATTTGTGACCAAGTTGTAATGTCCTGGCTGATGTGTTGAGATGTTGCTTCAGTATTTCTCCATAATGTTCTGTCTTCATGATGCCATCTATGCTGTGAAGTGGACCAGTCCCTCCTGCAGCAAAACAGCCCCACAACATGATGCTGCCGCCCCCATACTGCACAGTTGGGATGGTGTTCTAGGCTTGTGCGCTTTCCCCTTTGTCCTCCAAATGTAACACTGCTCATTATGGCCAAACAGTTCAATCTTAGCTCCATCAGAGCACAGCACATGTCTCCAAACATTAGTCTGTTTCCCCAGTGTCATTCAGCACAATGTAATCTGGCTTTGTTGTTGATTCTGGCTTGTTGATTTCTCCATGTTGTCACAGAAGGAAGCAGTGTGTTTGAGCTTTTCCTTCAATACTGTTCTACAGTTGTGCCTCACATTAACTCAAATGTTGTCAATCAGCCAATCAGAAACTTCCAAAACCCTGACATCATCATCTGAGCTTTACAGAGGCAGAATAATCTTATTGTGTGTAAACTTGACTTTCAAGAAGAGTTAGAACAATTTCTCAACACATCTCTCTCTCATTATTCTGTTATTAAGCCGAACAGAAACACATCTGATCATCCTAACTTACCTAAAAGAGAAAGAGTTTAGTCACAGTAACATCTGACATGATTTTAAATGGTTAATTAATGCATTTATATCCAGCTTCATTATTGTTTGGCAGATAACGTGAACATTTTCATCTCACATACTTTCATAACAAAGCTGACAGATCATTCTCTTTCTTTTATTTGTTCAAGTCCAGACAAATAACATCTTTAACAGTTTAAAAAATGCCCACAGTATCACAGGAGGACTGATCATTTTGACTATTTAATGTAAACTTGATTTATTTTCTTTGTTTTAATTGACAGCACATTGATTGCATCTCTTATTTGTTAATCTGCTTTAGTAAAGTGTGTAAGTGATTGGCTGAATAATTAACGCTGTGTTTTGTCTGCTAGCCGACAACCGGAACAGAAAGAAAGTGGATCCCAACAAGAACAAGAGGGACTTCTCTGCCTTCAAACACGAGAGAGAATCTAAAGTCAAGATATCCCCGCAGCTGATGCTAGCAGCGCACCGATTCCTCGCTACAGGTTAGCCGCTCATTATTCCTGCGTTATCCATAGTAGGGCTGTACGATATTGGAAGAACTGACATTGCAATATTTACTTTTACTGTGATAGACACTCACCGGACACTTTATTAGGTACACCTGTCCAACTGCTCGTTAATGCAAATTTCTAATCAGCCAATCAGCATTTAGATTTTCAGCTTTTTTATTTGTACATTGTCATTATGGGGGATTGTGTGTAGAATGTTGAGGAAATCAATCAATTTTATCCATTTTGCAATAAGACGGTAACATAACCCTGCTGAAAAATCCAGCTTAAACCAGCCTAGGCTGATTTAAGCTGGATTTTTCAGCAGGGAAACAACTGTGAAAAAAGCGAAGCGCTGTCAGTACTTTCTGGATGCACTGTACGATTGTGAATTACAGCTTATTTCTTGTTCTCCTGGTTCTGTAGAGGTCAGCGCTTTCAGTCCGCTCCAGATCTCGGATAAAGTGCTTCTGCGAATCCTCAAACACCCGGACGTCATTCAGGAGATCAAGTTCAACGACAACGACAAACGCTCGCAACACCACTATCTGTACCAGCGCGGGAAACACGTCGACTTCTTCGTCCTCATCCTTCAGGTCAGTAGAGGCCGCCTGTCTGCCTTCATGCAGGGTTCAGCTGAATCAGTGTTACTTTAAATGCTGACGTTAAGACTTGCCTTACTCAAGAAAAGTAACTCAATTCGGTCATGGCATATCGTGGTTCATCCAGTGTGATACCTAATTCATCGCCAGCGCTTCCCACACATAAAACTTTACCTCAGCGGCCCGGTTCTGTGTGCATAAAAAAAGTCTCCGGCACAGACTCGCGGGCAGACCCACAGAGACGCGCTGGACACCTGCTCTGACTTTAGCTTTGAGAAGAGCGCGAGGACACACGGGAAAAAAGCCTACAATACATTATCTTTTTCCCGGACATGTCCTCTATTTGGGACTTAAAAATGGCATTCAGCCAAGATTTCTAAATCGCCGAACATGTCCCGGATTCTGCTTTCTTTAGCTGCGTTTCTACATTATTTTATACGCAAACTTTCAATCTCAATCTCTCAGCAGCATCAAGACTAGAGAAGGAGCAGATTTGACCTGTCAGTCGTGCACATGGACAATAGGAGTGAAATAGTGGATTTATTATTCTTTATTTCATTTTTTTACTTCAACACTCTGAAAGGAACAGTGTCATGTAAAAGGCTAAACATTTTTGTTGTTTTCATTGTCGGTTAAATTAGAATAAGAAATCATTCTGCTGCTGCTGAAAGAATGGTATTACTTTTGGGGCAGAAGGAAAATTTAATCAGAGACATTCCCATGTTTAACTCTTCGTTAAAAAGCCCAAAAAGATAAAGTGCTCTGATAAACAGTGGCAGCTTTGCACATTAGTTTGCTGTTATTTACATTGTCTAATTTCCCCATGTGGGCAGTAGGGTGGAATCTGTGCAAATATGCATATATAATGAATTTTGATAAATAAAATTATTCTTAAAAGTCACATTATTTCAAGTACTGTGGAGAAAAGGTGTGTTTCAATCCAGCCTCTGCAAGTATTTTATGTTAAATATAATATGTGCAATATATATTATATTATATTATAAAATTAATAATGTTTGGGAACATTGCTACAGCCATAATCTTCTTATGATACAAACACAGATGAAATAGCTCTGATCATGTAAATGTTTGTACTAACCATGCTGCACATTTTTATCAACTTAACAATAAATTATTTCTGCTGCCCAGTGTGAAAGCTATTTTTCAGCTCAACTAGATCAAAAAATCATCAAAAAGCTGTGTGAAATTGAAATTATTTACACTGAACCTTTAGCAGTTGTTCAATTAACAATATTTTTTCTTATGTTCCTGCTCTCGGCAGTTTCTACTCTTTGCTGATGGTAAAAAATGAACAACTGAAGTGACCTTTAATTAGCATTTTGCACTTTCAAATTTTATTTTTGTTTATTCAATTAAGATATTTTTCAGGGTCTTAATATTTATTCGTTAATTCTTTTTATATATTCTTATGTAAAAGTTCACATTTATGCAACCAATAGTTAATAAACTGGTTTTTTTCCATACTTACTGTTGCTGACTTGTTCTCAGTTTGATCTAGCCGTTCATACATTAGACTCAACAAAATAGGTAAAAATAAAGTATTCATAATTTGTGCTGATATCGGATTTATATCGGTATCGTATCGGACTGATGGCTGCAATATCAGTATCGTATCGGAAGTTAAAATGTTGTATCGGGACATCCCTAATGGTAACAAGGATTTTTAGGTTGTTGCCAGGGTATTTCTATGTGAATGATAGTCGTCAAGCCCTTTTTGTATGGTAGCTAGGGATTTTAGATGGTTGCCAGGTTATTTCTGTTTGGTAACTAGGGCTTTTAGCTGGTTGCCAGGGTATTTCTATGTGGTTGATGGTTGTCAAGCTACTTTGGTATGGTAACTAAGGTTTTTAAGTGGTTGCCAGGACATTTCTATGTGGTTGCTTGGATGTTTTAGGTGGTTGTCAAGCCGTTCGTATAGTTAATCAGGATTGTGTGTGTTCATTTATTCCATAGATATATACACTAGATATCGCATAGGGACCCTGAGCATGCTTCAATAGCGCCGCCATATTGGTACAGTGCTCCTAGGACAAATGTCATTCAACCGCACTAGTCAAGACAGTGTTATTACATGAAGATGCGGGACTTTAGCGCTGTCTACCGGTGTAGTAACGAGCAAACAAAGAAATCAAAGCACAAAGCCAGAACATTTCATAGGTAATATTAAGTTTTTTTCTGTTTTTGTATGTTCTGAACTGTTGTGCTAATCAGGTAACGTTATTGATGATAACAGTCACTTACTGCATTCACCATACGGCAAAGCAGCTCCAACTCACACTAAACACTCGGCTTATGCTAGTTTTGTTGAATAAAATCAGCAAACGATGCAGGAGAAATATGACAACGAGACGCTGCGCTGCCAGAAACTTGTATTATTGTCGGCTAACGTTAGTGAAAGAGTCGTTCAGGGGATTCATTCACAAGCGAATCGCTCCCTCAGTCAGTATGAGCAGTGAAAGCAGGAGAGGAGCTGTGTTTCAGGACATGATTAGATCAAATTTAACAGGGAGGGTGAATAGTACATTTCTGTACACACAAACACAAGCTTTTTGTCAGGAATGGCCGTGCAGTCACTGATCCATCATGTAAAGTGATGTAAAATTATAATTTTCGTAATTAGAAAAAAATAACTACATACTAACATCCAGGAAAACTCCCGATCACAGATATATGTGTTTATGTGTATATCTCTGGCTTTGCATGGCCACAGTCCTCCACTGTACCTTGGTCCCGCATTCATTTCAAAGGAGCGCTACCCTGTAGCAAGATGGCGGTGCTATTGACGCATTCCGTCCAATAGACAACAATAGGCCAGGCGACATCTAGTGTATATATCTATGCATTTATTCAATCATTCATTTTCTTTTCAGCTTTGTCACTGAATTAATCAGGGGTCGCCAAAGCAGAATGAACCGCCAACTATTCCAGCATATGTTTTACGCAGTGGATGCCCTTCCAGCTGCAACCCATCTCTGGGAAACACCCATACACAATCATTCACATGCACAAACACTCATTCATACACTACGGCCAGTGTAGTTGATCAGTTCCCCTATAGCGCATGTGATTGGACTGTGGGGGAAACCGAAGCACCTGGAGGAAAGCCATGCCAACACAGGGAGAACATGCAAACTCCAAACAGAAACACCAACTGACCCAGCCGGAACTCGAACCAGAGACCTTCTTGCTGTGAGGCGAATGTGCTGCCTACTGTGCCAGTGATAGTATGACTTTCTATAGCAGATCCCTCTGTTTGCTGCTTCTGTTTTCAGGCTTGTGTGTGTGTGTGTATGTGTGTGTGGGTGTGTGTGTCTGTGGTGTAGAGTTGCACAGACGGGGCCTTTGCTAGCGTCTGTGACCTCAGTGTAGGTTTAGCCTGATCGGGCCGCGCCGGCCGGACGCTCCTGCCCTTCACTAATTGATCCCTCTTACATAAGAAAGAGATCCTGAGCAGAGCTAATCCCTCCCCCTCACTACAGCACACACACACACACACTCACACACACATACATACACTTACACATTCACGCTCACACACAACACGTGCACACTCACAAACAAAACACGCAGGCTTACACACACATGCACGCTCACACACACACACACACACACACACACACACACACACACACACACACACACACACACACACACACTCTTTCACATGCACACACTACATATCCGCTCTCAGACATACACACACACACACACACATAGACTCTTTCTCACCCACACACCACAGACATACAAAGACAACATACACACAACACATACAAACACATGGATGCTAACACACATGAACGACCAGACACACACACACACACAACCCTCACATCCTTTCACATGCCCTGTCACCTTTGTCAAACCACTTCTAGTCTTACTGTGTGTATTGGTGTGTTATCATCCTGACACACGGCACCGCCTTCAGAATTCAATGTTTGACCTATTGGGTCACATGGTCCTCCAGAATGGTCGAGTAGTCCTTGGCAGTGACCCAGCACCCATATAGCACCAGTATTGGGCCTAAGGAATGCCAATATATTGAGCCCAAACCATCACTGATCCCCCCCATGCCGCACTCTGGGCATCAGCAGTCTGGGTGGGACGCTTCTTTGGGGCTTCTCCACACCGTAACTCTCCCAGATGTGGGAAAGAAAGTGATGGTGGACTCTTTAGAGAACAATACATGTCTCACATTGTCCACAGCTCCAGATCTTCACTGCTGCACCACTGAAACCGGCAAGAGTGAGCAGAGGTTTGTCTACAGAAGCTCGGCATGTTTATAAACCCTGTGGAGCTCCAGACCAACAGTGCTGCTGGAAACAGAAGAGTTGAACTCTGCAGTGAGTCGATCGGCTGTGGTCTGATGAGTTTTTGGCTTCACACTCTGCTCTTTCTGCTGGGATGTGAGATCAGTGAAGACTGGCCACCAGCCACTCACGTTTAGCCATCAACCCTCCAACACTCGATTGGCCAGTGTTTCAGTGTATATATAGTGGTCAGTGGAGCAGCTGAAGCATGTCAGGACTCAGAGCGTCTCTCCGGTAAACCCTTCATCAGTAAATCAGGATCAGCAAATGACTGCTGGATCTGCTGTGTGTTCAGTGAGGGTCAGTCAGGACAAGGTGAACTACACAGCGCCAGTCTATATCTATATCGCAGTGTGTACATCGCAGTGTGTTTAGAGCAGTGTGTACATCGCAGTGTGTTTAGAGCAGTGTGTATATCGCAGTGTGTATATCGCAGTGTGTATATCGCAGTGTATTTATCGCAGTGTGCATATCGCAGTGTGTTTAGAGCAGTGTGTATATCGCAGTGTGTTTATCGCAGTGTGTATTTCGCAGTGTGTTTAGAGCAGTGTGTATATCGCAGTGTACATATCGCAGTGTGTATATCGCAGTGTGTATATCGCAGTGTGTTTATCACAGTGTGTGTATCGCATTGTGTATATCGCAGTGTGTTTATCACAGTGT